GTGCGTATCGATCGATGCGGTTGGCGATGGAGAAACAGACACGTGCGTGAGAGGATAACAATGACACAAGTATTTTNCCGATAGTAGCTTTTCAAACTTTTCTGTCATATGTTTCATACACTTCAATATCGGGTTTTCTGAGCAATCGTTACAAAACCACAAACTGTATGGCTGGATCATGATCTGTTTTATTCGTTTGGTCGACAGTTTTGCGCAGGACGGATGAAAGTACTTTAGACTGGGATTGCAGGCAATACCCGACTTGACGTCCCTTCCGCATGTCAACGAACCACATATTCCTAATCCTTGTGTTGCACTTGGTGCGTCAGTCTCAAGCACACTACGACGGACCATTTTGACCGAAGATGACCCGGGAGACGGTAGACGAATGACAAAGGTCAAATTCCGATCTGCTGGGTAGACCACACGATAAGGGTCAACTGGTGCGTACCGATCGATGCGGTCAGCGATGGAGAAACAGACACGTGCGTGAGAGGATAACAATGACACAAGTATTTTCCACAAATTAATCCGTAGCTTTCTTGCAAATGTGCACAGAGAGCTGATTAGCAACTCGTTGAGTAGAGTGGGAATTTATCTTCACAAAGGTATCACAATAGTGCTGGTGCGAAGAACAATAAAACTTTTGTGCGCGTAGATATTTTCGTTAATTCCGTTGAAATCAAAAATGTGGCCAAATAGCTTGGAACCAGGAATTTATATCCAAAAGATAGAGCTGGTGAAACAGTGTAACATGAGCCCAAGCTCGATGCTGTAGGAATCGTTTTGGTGGAGTAAACGCACAAAACCGAGAGCACACAAATAGACCGTCCGCTCTCTCAGTGATCAAGGATGATGAGGAATAATGAATGCGGTATTGAAAATATCCAAATCCAATTGATGATCACTCTTCCGTGTTAGCTAAACAGTGATCTGGCCGGCATGCATCCCAGATCTGGACCCCATAGAAAGCAAATGGATTCCTCAAACTGTAAAGGTTTACCAAGGTGTTTTCCTACTAAGTGGAAATTAGCGGTAGCCTTGAATACCAAGTAGAAGAAATTCGACAGAGAAGTAGTAAATAATAATAATATAACTAAGAAGTAGTCTAACCGTTTTCGAATGGAATGATCAATGCATCCGAATATAGACGAACTGAAATGCGTGTAATCCAAAGGGGTGCAATAATTCTTTTGCAGTGAACTTCGTGATCCGATCAAATCTCGTATTTCACTTGTGCACTGGGTTATTATTTTGATTCTCGAACACTATAGTAATATTTTATTTATTGCAAAAACCGGGAATGGGAGTGAAAGATGATGCGATAATTCTGTCGCGTGGCATAGAACAAATCGACTCTTCGGAATGGTTTATGAATGTGATGCGAAAACAGATCCTCCCTACCCCGTGACTCCCGAGTATCCATCGCTCTAAGCGCTCTGTGGGGAGCATGTTGTTCCTACAGACCGGTAATCAAATGTACGGCGTATCTATCAGAAAAAAATGTAGGAATTATTATGAATGTTGAACAGGAAAGCGAAAAACAGGTTCGCACAATGTAATCTATGTTTCCATGGCTTCTCTGTTACTCCTGTTTATCCCCAATGGACGTTTAACCGAGCTGAATCGGTTTGTGAATAAATCTCAATACATTCATGCTCCGTGTATTCAAATCGTTCAAGGAACATGTCTAGTATTTCGCCGTGGTTTACTCCATCTTACTAGGTCTGTATTGTGAAACCGCGCGTCACAACAGAGTGGAAATGAGGGCGATAGCAAATCTTCCTACCGTATGATCCTTCTTGCTCGCTGCTTTCTGGGAACACCAAAGCGGACAGTACTTCGAATCATTTGGCGCTGTGATGGTGATGACGATGTGAACATTCTTTCAATCGACACAACCATTTCACGAGACAAATACGGTAGAGAGCGAAAAACGAAACAAAATTAGTTGATCATAAAACCAGTGCGTGCATAGTATGTGATACGGACGAAAAACATTGAACAGATACCCAATGTTTCTGTTTAGAGTTCTCCAATCTCTCCCCCTTTTTACAGGTTTAGAATACTTGGCCGCAATAGTGGACAGTGCGAAAATTTGTGAAGGTGGTGGACGTTGTGCAAATTATAACGATACTCTATTGGAAAAAATGTTCGAGCCAAAGGATTTACAATTGGTCGTGATCACTGTGGGCACAGGCAACCGAGTGGAATCCGAGGGACTGGATCGACACAATATAAGTTTGCCCGGAAAACAATATGAATTCCTGTTACACAGTTTGGATTTAGCCGCTGGTCAAGGTGTAATCCATCGAATTCCGATTCCCGTGGTCATTCTTATTTTTAGTACCGGTCCTGTGAAGATTCAATCGGCCCTTGATGATACTAATGCAAGTGAAGTATTTGAATGTTTATTTTGTGCTTCGAGAGACTAATTATAAATGCATATACGCAATCATAATGTTAGATTCTATTTTAATCCGCTATGGAGCAGTGTTAGCTAGGTTCACTTTAGCGTCAAACATAGGTAAGTCAATAGGGACACAAAATGGGTATAAGAGTGAGCAAAACAAATGCTAATGGCCATATCGCATGAATAAGTTAATTCTCTTCGTCCATTCCCCATTGTTGATGGCTCGTCTTTAGGGTGCTCACTTGATCAACAGAACGCTCTCGATGCCCCTCATACCATTCGGATGGCTCGATTAACAACCGGTGGGACTGGGCGTAAATCCGCCATTAGGGCGTGCTTCATTCCTGGAGTCTCGATGACCGATATGCAATTTTTATGTTAACTCTCATGAAAATTTCCCTGTTGACCCTTTACTAACTGAATTAATCGGTTTCCCTTACCAAACCGGAACGTCCTCGTAACTCGGGGCTGCAGGAATCTGTTCGCTCACACTATTACTCATCGCATTGAAGAGTGCAATAGATGTCTTCAACTGCACGCTAGTAGAAAAATCCACCGGTGAATGTACTTAAAGAAGAGAGATCTCCCCGTTTCATTCAATCAACTCCAAATGTTAAGAGAGTGTTTATCTTGTGATTCCAACAACATAGTTCCGAAATCCGTCTTTATTCTGATTCCCATCAATTCTAATCGTAGGTGAAAGCCATCTTTTGGTGCGGATTTCCTGGTGCATGGATCGGTCCGGCTATTGCACATCTACTTTCAGGCAGTCCAAGTGGCTCACAACTAGTCAGTGACCCGATCGAATGGGAAACCAATATGCGTGGAAAATCTCCCTTGCATCAGGGTGTTTGGTGGATGCCGGGCGCTCGGCTCCCATTCACTTGGTACGCCTCCATTGATCGTTTGGCTAATATCACGGACTACGAGATGACCAACCAAACTTACCGATACATTCCACCGCAAACATGTGTGAACAGTAATAAAGACTGCCCGTTACCTGTTCTGTTTCCTTTCGGTTATGGGCTTTCTTATAATGAACTGACTCCTGGAAAGTCTGGTGTCACCTATTCCAACCTTCGTAAACCGAGACACACAGTTCGTCCGGGTCAGCCAGTTGTGATCAGTGCAATGGTCACCAATCAGGGCAGTGTTGCATGCGAAGAAGTTGTACAGGTGAGTTTCTGTAATGTGCAGATTCCTCTGATAATTTCATGTTCAAGTTGTTCAGGTAAGTGCCATATTTGAAATGAAGGATGCGATCAATCTAGTGATACCCTTCACAGTCCGAAAGTTAGGCTTGTCAAGTTATAGCAAATAAATTTCCTGTTCCGTACAATTACATCCCACGTGACCGATAAATCCGACATTAAATGGGCGTAAATTTTAGTGACGAAAACCCTGAAATAATCAAAATCAGTCCGTCCAACAGCATTGACCAATGGGCTATATAATATCTCATAGTGATGTCAAAAGGATTCTGTGCTGATCACTCTGGTAGCTGCAATCAAATCGACATGGATTCGGCCGATTTGTGTTGCTTATGATCCCTAACACACACATGCACACAGCTCCGGTGCACAATGTTGCCATCCCTGTACGGTATTGTGTGACGTGTAAATGTGGCCTAATACGAAATAACTAACAGAATCCTCGTAATGATTCTTCGATGTTGTTTAACTTCCGATAAGCTCCCTAGAATGCAGATGACATTTGCATTGCTAACTAAATCTCTATCCCATGTTCGTTTCGGATATCTTAAGTTGATTGATTGGTTCTAGTTATATATCGTCTATTAGAAAAATCATCTAAGTCTTTACTTTTGTGCGTTCGTGTTTTCGTTTTAACTTATACAACCATAACCTTGCACTTTCTGGCAGTTCTGTTACTTGCTGTCTTTCCTCCACCTATTGGGCGAGCAATGCTTAAAAGTTGGGGAAGCAGTAGACTGCTGAAAGCAGTATCAATGTTAAGATAAGGAATACAGTTTATACAGATATATTGGGTGCATGCTCCAGCGTCAGTGTTTGCGACAAAGCCATCTCATCGAGTATCTCCAAGAACGTCAATTACACTGATTCCCATGTCCCAACCGGCAAGCCTAACGTGGCCCATGTAGTTAACTTCTCTGGTCAAGATTTTCAAATCGTCATTTTAGATTCGACAAACTTTGGCTTTCTCCCATCCGTTACGTGTCTCGGTCAACTTCTCACCCTGAGGAAGTCTGTTCGGTGACACGTCCTAACCATCATAACAAATGGAGGTTAAGCTCCTGCGTCAAGACTCGATCGTGATTTCTTATTGCTTCTAGTCTAACCCTTTGAGTGCGGATTCGGCGGCCTCATCACCCTCATCCAATGCGGGGCAGAAAGATGTTTTTAAAGCCGGTTTTCGATATTCATCCTTCCCCCTCCCCAACTGCCATGTAGTAGAACCCGCCGGTTAGCTGCAGCATTCACCCAAGCTTTCAAGTGTGATTGAATGCCTATGCAGCACCAAAGGTGTCTCCACTTAGCGAACATCAGCCGATCCTTCTGTTGTCATACCGAATTTCCATTCATGATTCCCCCGCTTGGTTAGATGTGACTACCCTCGGATTATAATTTGTATTCTTTCCGCATTATTTTCAATGTTTTGTTCGTAAATGGTGATTTGTCCTTGTGACCTTATTGCCACTCATGATTAGTGTTCCACATGACTGATACACCCATCACGACGAGACTGCACCTTGACGCGGTGTGATGGCTTGCGTGCCTCCATGACCCT